GTGTGTGTGTGTGTGTTACAGGTAGAGGTAGAGGATGCTGCCTATGTTGGTTCCTCTCATCTTCACCGTCCTCCTGACTGAGACGTCTGCCTCTCTACCATCTTCAGGTAAGAATAGAGATCAGATCAGAGCCTGCTTCGACGTGCAGACAGAGTAATGTTCTGTGTTTTAATACTTACTTTTGAATCCTGTGTCAGCAGGTAGGGGGCGGGCTTCTCCATGCCCACCTCGGTGGCTCCTGTTCAGGCAGAGATGTTTCGCTTTCTACCCTGTGTGGAGCTCCTGGAGCACTGCTGATGTAGATAAAACACGTTAATGTACAGCACATAATATTTAAATATTACATGAGTCCAGTATGGTTTAATGTGTGTGTGTGTGTGTGTGTGTGTCAGGCTATGTGCTCTCAGTCAGGTGGTAATCTGGCGTCGCTTCACACATCAGAGGAGAGGCAGTTTGTCAGTCGACTAGTAAACACACACACTGCTGGGTGGCTGGGTGGCTACCAGTCACAACAGGTATAATAATAATAATAATAATAATAAACTTTATTCATACAGTGCTTCAGTGATTGAAGCAGCGTTTGTTGTGTCTGTTCTCATTCTTCTATCAGGACTTTATTCTTTTACAAACGTCTTTCTCTCTCTTCGTTTTTCTCTCTGAAGAATCTCTCTTGGATTTGGAGCGATTACTCCCCCTTCACGATGACTGGTTGGACCAATCAGAGGCAGGAGAACGCCAGAGGGGGCGGGGCGTGCATACATATGGAACTAAAAAGTACGTTTTTGGGGGTGGACTTTTGTGACTATTGTAAAATACTTTCTTATTATTCTTTTAAAACATCTAAAAGTGGAACAAAATCCGTTGTTGTGTTCAGGTGGAGAGCTGCACAGCGCCCCCTGTGGAGAGCTGAAGTTCTACATCTGCTCCACCAGAGCCAGGTAGGGTATTCAGATTCTTTACTTTAAAGGACCAGTGTGTAGGATTTAGTCACTATCTAGTGGGAGTTTTGCAGATCATTTCAATACCTTCCAAGAAAACTAATGACGTTGAAATACCCTCTCTACAGTCAGTGTTTGGTTTTGTCCGTTCTGGTCTACTGTTAGAAACGTGGCGGTTCCAACATGGTTGACTCTGTAGAAGAGGAACTGCTCTGTAAGATAAAGAACAGTTGATTCCTAAGGTAACAAAAAAAAAAAAACCCAAAACGGAAATTTGGGGTTTTATTTTTCAGGTGCACGAATGAAACATACCTATGAATATTATATTGAATTCTGCCAACAAATCCGTTTAAATGTTGTCATTTAAATAATTCCAGTAGCACATTTTAAATCCTTATATTTTAAATAATGTTTTATTAGTATTCGGCACAAATTCAACCAATTCCTGTTAGGATGGGATGGAGCTTCTTCAATAGTTCTGCATGAACAAGCTTGTGGTTAACGCTTCCTCTTAAGAAAAGGAACATGGCTGAGTCGAGCTGGTTGAGTTGACCACAACGTAGTCACTGGGTTTGAGGTCGCAGAGAGGTTGTTCAACTGGGACAGGAAGTGCATCCTTCACCTGTCCTTCATTAGTCCGTGCTCTCTTTCTCATTCTCATGTA